AGAAATTCATAACCTGTAGTTTTTACACACTTGGTGGAAAGAGAGGCTGAGATGAACAAAGATGAATGATTTAATATTCCATAGCTCTGTTCTAACGTAACAAAAACAAACAACAAATGTATTCTTCAAATGTTGTTTTTCTAGTGAAGTAATTAAAAAAACTTTACAGACATACTTTGGCTTTCATATAACATAAAGCATGTCAAATGTTTTGCATAAGAATTCAAAATAAATGAATATTATTATGGACAGATAATTTATCAGCTGTGGTTTAATTACCCAAATAATTCATAATAATATACATTTTCCATTATCAGCCAATAATTTATCTACCCCAATAATTATTGTGCGTAATGATAATAAAACACATTATAACTTGTGCTTGTGTAGTGTATAGAATGACTGAGAACTATGTTTAACATTATATTTAAACAGGGTTAGGGTTGGGTTTGGAGTATGGCGCTGGGAAGGCATAGTATTGGTAGAGATTGCTTTTATTTGATATCTCCAGCTTTAAGAGCTTTAGGTATTATTAGAAAAGTTACACAATGTGGCAGCTGTTGGCTTTCACAAAGAGTTTTAAGGACTGAATCAGCCCATAAAGGGGCTTGTGAGTGTCCCAAGCCATGTATACTTAAATCTTATCCTATTCTGTCTCTCTGTGTATTCTTCCCCCAGTTGTGTGTGATTCCATGTTCCTCCATGCCTTTTTTGGCATCTAATGGAAGAAAAAGCTCCCATCAGATCCGCCATGGTATCCAGACTGCCTAAGTTCGGTGGACGCTCCTCCACTGGTGGCACAAGCCCCTTGACCAATGGTTCCACCCAGCCAACTACGCCTACCCAAGATGGTAAGACCACTCCCCCTGGAACACGGCAAAACGGTGTGATCCGTGCCTCTCCTTTTTCACTAAGGTGGAAGAGAGACGAGGGGACCACCCCTTCTAGCCCTACCACACCCACCAGCCCTGGGGACGGAGGTGAAGACAAAGCTCAGACCCAGTTTCCCTCTTTAACAAAGGAGTTAAAAAGTGGGTCTCCAGCAACACCCAAGATGCGGCACCCAGGTTCTTTGATGGTAGCCGTTTCCAGTCCTAAGGCCATCCCCAAGCAGTCCTTGAAGATGAGTCCCAAAGTAGGAACCAAGCAAGGCCAAAGCCAGCTGAATGGAGGCCCTAAAATAACCCATAATGGTTCTAGTATCCCTGCTCGAACAGGTTCAGAGTCTCGCCTTGTGCGGCCAAGGTTAGGCTCCAGCTCTCCCAGGAGCAGCTCTCAAGACAGCCTCTCCCAGTCCAGTGACGGTCTAAAGACCTTGGCACTGGACAACATGGTGCGTTCCAACAGCTTCACTCACTTCAAGCAGATTCCCTCACCCACCAGCCAGCCTATGACGCGGTCCTTCTCCTTTAACCGGGCTGTGGAGCTGGCCAAGCCTCTGGCGAACACTCAGCTCCGGCCTCCTCGGAGTAGTTTCCTCAAACCCCCTCAGCTGAGCAATGGAAGAGTGGGTTTAGGACTCGGAAGCCTGAATGGCAGCCTTGGAGGTTCAGGAGGTCTTCAGTACAGTAGAACTCCCCCAGCTGCCTCCTCTCTGCCCACCCTCTCGATCCTTCCAGCACCCACTACTCCCAGTGCTCTGAGGAAGCCTCTACTCCCCAGTTGTGTGCTAACCAAGTCATTGGGTAGCAGTGGGGGGTCTTTGGGCTACAGACTGACTCGATCTGGGCAGGCTAAGCAACAGAAGCCTCTTTTTACAGGTAGGGTCAAGGGGGATATCAGACCTCCAGCTGCCCCTGAATGTGGAGAGCTATTAGGTATAGCAATAGAAACTGGGCCAACTGGGGAGGCTGACAAAGCGGACTCACACAGTGACAGTGATGGAAGCTCTGGAGGTAGAAATGAAGGAGGGAGTGGTGTGCCTAAGCAGAGCTCTGGCCAGGCGGAAGGCGAGACTCTGGAGGACATGTCCTTATCTTCTGCCTCATCTCTAGACAGAGGGGACACAAGTGAAGACTTTCTAGATGACATTTACAGTGTGGGAGATGTGCTCAGTGATGGGAACCTGCCTGACAACAGGAAAACTGGCAGCATTGCCCAAACCCGGCTTCACAGCTTTCTCAATGAGACCCTTGACTGGGACACTTTGGATCTGGAAGGTAAGAAAACTGAATTAAAAGGAAATTCAGCCTTATTTTTGTGTTACATATGTTTCAGCTGTTTATATATCTTGTACAGGACATGAAGAAGAAAGCCCTATGCAGGACTCCCAGGGACCACTGGTATTGTCATCAGAGCAGTGTGATGCCCTACAGGCTTCATCTGTGGAGCTCTCACCCTCCAACAGCTCTGGTGGGACCTACATGTGGGATGAGGATGGTCTTGAGCCCCTTGGGGGTCCTGGGACACATCCGTGTGACAGCTATGATGACTCAGAGCTCAACAGCGTGGTGAGTCCCAGATTCAAGCTGTAATGAATTTTGACATAAATGTGTACAATGTAAAAAACATAACCTTTGTGAATTTCTTAGTCCTAAAATCTTAAAAAGACTTTTTAAAAACTAATTTCCTACTACTTCTTCTTTTTCCTGTTTGGGTTTCAAATGGGTAATCATCTCATATTCACTTTTATCCAGAACATTTTTTAGAAAAAAAAAACAACGACATGAACTAAATATGAGATACTATCTTACTGAATTTGGAGTCGGTCGGATTATTATTCTTTAAAGTAAAAGAGATGATGATGATTATTTTGATTGATTAGTTCATAGTAAATTAACTAATAGTATAGTACTAATAATAGTAAGTATAATTTATCAGTTGTTTATTAAACTGATAAGAAAGTAAGCACTCTTGTTGTAGCGTCTGCCAACAAGCTCTCATGTCCTCCACTCCTTCTTGCTTCATGCCAACTGGCAGATTGCTCTGTAACTCTGTATATTCCAACAAGGGAAAGGGGTGGAGAGCAGCCAGAACCCTTTAGCGGTGATACGGTTGCTAAGGCTAAAAACTTCAGAGAACAGTTAAAGCTGTTGCAGCTTTAACAAATTGATAGTTGGCAAAGAACAGACTTGTGTGACTTAGAAGTGGGTTCATTTCGAAGTATAGTAGTTTTTTAAGAGGGGGAAGGTTCAAAGAAATGTTAGGGTTATGACACCTTGAGAGTGGTCTGATACACATTATACAAATGGCATTCTTCTGACATTTCCATGGGCACCGTACAGGCAAGAGTTCAAGTATCAAACGACCAGCTCAAAAGACTGAATTTCTCCACCACAAAATGTAGTACTTAATGTTCGCTTCAAGAGCCAAACCTAGATTACCGTCGGTCACACTGCACACTGACAGAACATATTTACTCTAACTGGAAATCCTCTTAAACATACAGTATGTCTACTGTCTATAGCTCTAAGTGATTCCATGGGGCTTACATTTCCATGCCCTGTATATCACTATTATTCTATTTTATTTGAATTTATGGGACTTTTAACTCTACAAAATGGAAATATCCAGTATTATGCAGTCTTATCATCCTTCTCTTTGGTCTGTGATTAGAAAAGCAAAAGTCAGTGTTTTCAGTTTTCAAACAGTGGGTGTGTTTGGAAATGAGATAGAAGTGTGTCCTACTACATTTTGGCATTAAAATAAAGACTTAATAATCAAGTGTTAAAGGATCAGTGTGTAGGATTTAGTGGCATGCAGTGGTAAGATTGCAGATTGCAACCAACTCAAGAANNGCCTCCTAAATGTTACACACTAGCCCTTTAATGTGGATCCTATCTGTTGTGTCATTAAGATCAGTTTCCCTTAAAAGGGGGTTGACATTACTCAGCTAATATACCTTGAGGCCATTACCAAGCACCTATACAGTTGTACTTGTAGGCTATAGCC